AATGCTGCAAATCAATTTTGGAGGTGCAGCATTTGGTATATAGGGATGTTTACACAGATGCTGGTTTGAGCTAAAAACTAACCTGCAAACTGAACTGACAGTAGTTAGTAGCCGTAAAAGGAGATAATAAATTAATTCAGTTAATAATATCACCCGAATGATTAAACCTAAAGCATAGGTAACAACTTAGATCCTCTTAAAGCAAAATTGAAACAAAATGTATAAAAAAATGTCGACATTGACAGTGAATTATAAAGAAAGGCATACGGTGCACTTTTTACGCGTGGAGAAAGGCTGACGAAAGGAAAAGAACGAGAAAAAAAGAAATAAAAAAGAAGAGGCCTCCAACGAAGAGACGGCGACTGTATCGCCGTGACGATGGCACGTGTGCCTGCCGGTGGCACGTGCCTAAGTGGCAACCCTTTGCTTTCTTTTTCGCTGATGCGTCGATACGTCTGTCCTCCTGTCTGCGTTTCAGACGATGATGATCCGGCTGAAACGACTCAATTGAAAGTAGCATTGGACTTGGCTCTTCATTTTCTCATTTCTTTAAAATAAAAAACAAACATAACATAAATAAACATAACATATGTAATAATTAAAGATAGTCATACAGAAAGTTTGGGCTTTTTGGTTTTACCTTAGTAAGTAATTGTTATCTGGTAGTAATTGTTAATTTTGAAGTTTAACTTGGATATAATGTCATTTTAACAGAACGTCAACGGTTTTTGTAGACGTATCTGTTTTAAAAAAACTAAAGTGTTCTCGAATAGTTGAATTTAAATAGTTTTTTTCTTTATTCTTCTTCCGACGACGGAAAGAGATAAACTTTCCGAAACGTTAAGCATTTTTTTTGTTCGTTAGGCAAATTTGTATATCTTTAAAGCTAACTTCTGACAAGTAGTTTCCGCTTGGGATTAACGCAGAAGTGTTTATATAAAATAAATATTTTATATTGTAGATTTTCTTGCAGTAGCGAAAAACCCATATAGGATTTTTTTGGGGAGATGAATCCCCCACATCACATAGGTATAGACATTTTTTAAAGTATCATTTACTATCACAAATATACAGTTTTGGACTTAACATAGTTTGCTACTACGGTACAGATATCGATTAAAACGTCGAAAAAATCATCGATATTTCTAGACATCCCTAAGTCATTCCGCTTTCAAAATCTACCGAAAGCCAAACCGGTCGCAAAAAGTCTTTGTAAAAAAATAATCGGCGTTAGGTAACGATCGAATTTAAATTGTTTTATGGCCCAAAATCGTTTAAAAATTTACATTTCGCCGCGCACAGTTCCCGAAAATTCTCTAATTAAAATTCAAAGGTTTATTACTGATTATACCTCTATGATGAAATTATTTTAATGTTCCAGACGTTCGTGTCGGTCGGAATAACGTTTTTTTAACCTCGACTTCATCGAAAACTTATTACGTTTAATGCTAGACTGGCCGTATCTATGATTATAGTAAAAGGCTTATAATCATGCAAAATTGATCAGTCTGTTTATCGCCAATATTTTATCCGTTCTTTCTTGGCATTTTTTCTGTTTTCGAATTTATATAAAATTAGGTTTGTCTTATACGGATCACATAGTATAAACATATTTTTTAATTTTATGAATGAAAGTTCATATTGCTAAGACTGTATAGAAAGAGCACAAAGGTCCTAAATACCCTCTCAAGAATAATCTATACTAATATATAAAATCCTTAAGTGATTAATCACGATCCTGCTCAAACCACTCAACGTAAGAAGCTCAATTTGGGCATACAGGTTGATTCTAGGGTGTAGACGTTCGATAAGAACGGATTTTTCGAAATTTCAGTTCTAAGGGGGTGAAACCACCCCTTAAATATTGCAATATTTTTTATTTAAAAAACGGTCAAGTTTCCGAAAAAAAGCTTAAACACGTATATTTTATTTTGTTTTTTACATATTTTAAGATTTTTTAAAAATGTATACAGGGTGTTTCGAAAAATCTGGCCATTGATTAATCACGATATTGCTTAAAGCGCTTGACGTAAAAAGCTCAATTTTGGCATACAGGTTGATATTAGGGTGTAGAGGTTCGATAAGAAAGGATTTTTCGAAACTCGAATTCTAAGGGGGTGAAACCACCACTCAAATATTAGAATATTTTTTATTTAAAAACCTGTGAGTTTTTCGGAAAAACTCTTAAACAGGTATATTTTATGTTGTTGCTTTACATATTTTAAAATTTTTTAAAAATTTATACAGGATGTTCCATAAAATATGACCATTGAGTAATCACGATTCTGCTGAAACTGCTTGACGTTTAAAGCTGATGTTTGGTAAACGGATTGACTGTGGGGTGTTCGATAAGGAGAGGTTCGATAAGGAGAGGTTTCTCGAATCTCAAATTCCAAGAGGGTGAAAACGCCCCTCAAACATTACAATATTTGTTATTTAAAAAACAGTTAGTCTTTCGGGAAAACGCTTGTACACGCATAATTAATTTCATTTTTTTCATATTTTGAATTTTTTTTAAAAATCATACAGGGTGTTCCAAAAAGTTGGGTAGGTAATTGATTAACCACGATTCTGCTTAAACTGCTGACGTAAAAAGCTTATTTTTGGCAAACGGATTTTTCGAAAGTCAAATTCCAACGAGATGAAACTACCCCTCAAATATTACCAAGGTATATAATAATATCGCCATATTGTTTTTTTCTCATGCTGACATAAATGTGAGAAAATTTTATCCAGTTTGTATGTTAATGGAAATTCTTGCTTTGCTTTATCATCACCATTACAAATGATTAATTCCACGCGAACGAAGTCGCGGGTACAAGCTAGTAATATGATAAAATAATTAACTTAAAAAATTTTATTTTTAAAATTTTTCTTTTTCAACAAAAAGTTTACCCATTTTTAGTGACTGGTTAAAATAAATAAAAAACTGTGCAAACAAAAGTTTCTTCCTAAATAACCTAAAATTATTAAAAATTATTCCACCCGTTTGATTCCTGTTTTTTAATCGCCTAAAATATCGTTTCCAAATGGTTGGGCAATTGGCGTGTATCGAATTAGCCGCCATCATTTGACCGACATTTTCGGCCGCTCAAAAACAAAGCCCGGCCTTGAATACGATCGTACCCGGGTCGTACCTGCACCACCGGCCCACTAATTCGGCAAAAAATATGTTAATGGTCGGTAGAGAGACCGACCGACCCTTCCGAGCAAGAATTATTTTACTGGTTCATATTTCCGAGAAGAATCCGCTTCATCTTTGTTAGAAGCGATAGATAAATTTCGTTTAAGGTCGATTTAATCGAAATACTTCCACTTTTTCTTTTTCACTTTGTTGCTTTGTCTGTCCGTAAAAATAATGGAATATATTTTAACGAGTCCCTACTCCGGTAAAAAAATGGGGTTTAAAATATTTTATTACAATTAGGGATGTAATCGATATATCGATGTTTCAATAGTACGATATCGATATCCCACTATTACATGTATGTAGATGTAGATTGTATGGAAGGGGGGTAGTTAAATTTAAGTAAAAGATGCCTATACCTATGTGGCGGATTCATCTTTCCAAAAATTCCTATATGGGTATATCGCCACTGCAAGAAAATCTACAAAATAAAATAGTTGTTTTTTGTAAACACTTCTGCTTTAATCCAAACGGAAACTGCTTGTCAGAAGTTAGGTTTACAGATATACAAATTTGCCTAACGATCAAAAAATGCTGAACGTTTTGGAAAGTTTATCTCTTTCCGTCGTCGGAAGCAAAAAATACGAAGAATAAAGAAAAACTATTTAATATATTTAAATTCAACTATTCGAGAACACTTTAGTTTTTTAAAACAGATACGTCTACAAAAACCGTTACGTTCTGTTAAAATGACATACATCAACTTAAACTTCAAAATTAACAATCACTACCTGATAACAGTTAGGTAAAACCAAAAAGCCCCAAACTTTCTGTATGATTATTTTTAACTTTTACGTATGTTATTTATTTAAGTTAAAATGTTCTTTATAATCAAAGAAGCGATTGCCATACATTACTAACATCTACAGATGCATGAGCAATACATTTATTTTTATTAGATTGTATTAAAAAAGCCTCTTTTATTTTTCATTTAGAGGCAATTTAGGGCTTCTTTCATTATAATTTTGACGCTGGCGTTATTAAAATTTATTCTGTGCCCTGTGTTCCATGAATGCTGACAAATCTTAGATTTGTGAAAATCTCCCTTATTAGCATTAACAGAGATTCCTCCGTTAATGGTAGCCTTAGATCTAGTAAAGGGTTTTCTCGATCTATATAGCTTGATATTAATCAAGCTGTAGATCAAGAAAGAATAACTACCTTTATTCATTCGATACGAATAAGACCTCGAACTGTTTTGTTGCGAGAGGTCGACATACACGCTATTAAAATTATTATAAAATTATTATAAAATTATTGTTTTTGTCAATAAAAAAATCTATGAAATCAATATTTTACTTAAAAATGTATAGCTGTGTTAACTATAATATTCTTTGGTGTAGCTCATAAAAAATAGAGATAATGGACTAATTCAAAAAAATAAATATTAGGAATACATATAAAAGTACAGGAAAGTGTTTTTTTTTCAAAGTGCCCGTCATTTTTTCCACGGGATGTTTTGAATTTATTGCAAAAAACAACGTTTTGATTTACCCCGGTATACCCACCTAACTGAAAAATATAAGCCATTAAAGTAATAAAAGGATAATGCCAATAAATTTATCTTCACACTGATACCATAATCATAAAAATCGGATTACAAATTGAAAAGTTATGAAACATCAAACTTCGTCAAATTTTTAGGGCGGCGGATTTTGATATTTTTTTAGTTGTTTTTATTTTCTAAAGGAATAAATTCAAGTGGCTCCAGTAATCCGGGCGCGTCGATAATCCGGATGATTGCCGGAACGATATGCACCCGGGCGCTACTAAAGTTATACTGTATTTATTGACAGTTAATTGTTTTTTTCAGAGTTTCTCTTTAACCGGAGAAGAGGACAGGTTGGCTGTTGGAGGGGCGCAGGCGTCAACTTCCGCCGCGACCGGAAAAGGAAAGTGCCGCACAAGGAAATCCGGGGCTTCCGGTAGTCTCAGTGACAGCTCGTCCAGTGTCAAGAGACAGGTAGGTTAAAGGCAGTAGAATAATCGAAAATGGCTTCATTGCTACGCTATATTATGCTTTCCGATTAGATTGGCAAAGGTGTATTATTATAAGTTTGTTTACTTTATTGTTAACATGTTCTTTTCAATTTTAAACACCGCGACCTCTGTGGCATAGTGTGCCCCCTTTCCATGTCTGCGCCAAGCTATCCCTATCCCTCTTCTATCCCTATAACCTCTCCTCTCTCCTATCCGTGTACCCTCTCCTATCCGTGTACCCTCTCCTCTATCCGTCTCCTATCCCTGCATCGTTAAAAATGCATTTAGAAAATGTATTTTCTACGAAAACTTGAAGAGATAGGGTTAAAAATGTATGATAAAATTTGATAGACAATTAAATAGTGCATATCATTCACGTAAAATACGCAGGGTGTTCTATTTAAATTAAACAAGTTTTTGCCGTTTAAAGCTAATAATTATTTAATATAAATGTTTAGATACTCTGTATATATAAGGTAGTATTATTTTTATTATTGCAGCACAAAATTAAGTAAAATGAAGCATTAAAATTGTTCCTGCATTTTCACAAAATCGTAAATATTTCAAAAAGGGTTAGATTAAAGTGTGGTAAATCTTAATCAAATTTACCTTTATTTTAATCGTAGAAACTAAAAATGTAATAATATACAGGTTTTTACATTTAAAAAAATACAACTATGATATTTTTTCTTTATTTGGGACACTCTGTATCTTTTGAAAATAATATGTTAATTCAGTCATTTGTAATAACCCTGTATGTATATGGTCATTTTATAGTATGGTTTTGTCTACTTATATTATTTTTCAGAGATGTCTACTAATTTTTCTGCAGTCCTTATTAAAAAAATGCTTAAAATCGTTCTCTATCCATTGTAGTTGAGCGCTGTCATGTTCATATTGACTATTGAGGTAGAACTTTTCAAAACGCCCCCGTATATACTCCTAAGATTCCAGTTATTCATGGTGTTTTGATTTTTAGCTATACCTATTTATTTTACTACAAAATTTTTGAAAGAATAAATTACATGATTCCTATAAACCCAAATGTCTCACATCAAAAAGAAGAAAACAAATTCATCCTAAAAAAATCATCAATTTTTTGAACTCTTTGCAGTTTTTTTTAGATTTGTTTATTTGTATTCAAAACACGTCGCTTTGCGAACTGATCTAAGTGAGATCCATTTATTCTGTACTCCCTCTAATGCGAGCAATTAAACGAGGCAAAACGATGATTTGGATCAATTCGATCTTCAAAAGAATATATTCGTTTAACAATCAGTTAACCCAGTGAACTAATTGAAGTCTCAGAGAAACGTTAAAATTTTGAGAATAATTATAAAATTAATCGGTGTAGAAGTGTTTATTGTTTGTTTGTTTATTTGTTTATTTCGAAGTACAATGAATATAAGTGCTAGTTTTGTGTCAATAAAGAACAGAATTGTTAGTGCTGAATTAACTACCATAGAAATTGAGTTGGATGATTTGGTAAGTGAATCTTTGGATTAAATGATTTATTTTTAAGTTATTCTTCTGAAATAACTGACTGCCAACGGAATGTACAGGGTTGTCTGAACTGTACTCTGGACAGGCAACATATTCTGCGGATAAAAAGATGTAAAAATATGATGATAAAAGAGTTTCTGTTGAACTTTTGGCACAGAAACTTTCAAATTTATGATCTCAGTCTAATAACTATTTAGTCAACATGTTTAATTTATGTCAATGATGACAGGTATTGATAATTTCGATTCCAAATATCTCGAAAACCAATATTCGTAGCGATTTTTACCAAGAGACATTTTTTACGTAAAAAACGTCGTAAATGTATATTTTTTTACTCAGTAGTTTTATACAGGTACGGAGGAAAAGTTATTACTTTACAAACCAGTTAAGAAGTATGTAGGTGGCGCTCTATACTAGTAGGAGTCATATTGACATCACAATCAAATTTCTCATGTCAAAGAACTCCCAGACACCAATTTTCATCCAAACGTTGACGTTACAGCAGAAATTATTTAGAAAAAATCGAAATAAAAATGAACTTTGTATATCCGAAACTAAGCATTTTAGGACAGACGTTTATACGAACTTTTTTACTTATTTTTATCTGCAGAATATGCTGCCGAAGTTTCCGGAATACAGTTCGGACCACCCTGTATATTCTTTTGTAATGTCATAACCTTTTCTGTTATCCAACTCTCTTAAATAATACTACTAGCTATTTATTTCTAAAATTTGAGACCAGAAAAACTTTTATTTATGGATTTTTATGGGAAAATAAAAATGGTATTTTATATTTTTACCCGAAATTATTCAAAATTATATTTAAAGCAAATAGTAAAAATAGTATTTTCTATGCACTATTTCCAGCACTTTACCTTCAAATCTTCAACCATATTTGCTTTGGTCGCAGTCCCAGAAACCTATTTTAGGGTCTGTGTTATTTCTGAAAACAGGATATTGCCGAAAACGACATGTGCGAAATAGATCGAATGTCACTGCCGATGCCGGTAATAACGTCGAAGTAAAGATGCAAAATTAGCTATTAGACCATTAGAATTTCTTGACGTTAATAGGTCTGAAAGGCAATATTTCTTTTTACAAACGGTATAAGGATGCGGTACGATTTGTATAAATTGAAAGGATATGTAACTGGAAGATTTTCTGGAGTAACATGACAAAGAAATTTATGTTCTGTACAGAAAATTCAGGAATTGAAAGAGTGATAAAAAAAGTGATTTTTATGTCCTGTACTACCATAATGATAACAATCGATGATGAAAAATGGGAATGACAATCGATGATAATTTTGGCGAGGTCAAGCCCTAGACGTCATTACTTGGTCCGTACTCCTTTTTTTACTGCCAGTTGGCCATAAAAATGTTTCTATATTGAGTAAAAATTATTTTTAAATGGTGTAGTTTAAAATTCGAGAAAGAATAAGTTTTTGGAAAAAGATTTTTGTGTCTGGAAACGTTTTTTTAACGTTTATGTAAATTTTTGAACAAGTTTTTATGTCAATTTTTGATCTCGCCAAAATTATCGTGGATGGAGGAATGACAATCCTCAACTGTCTTTGGCGCCGTTTTTTTCGATCATACTGTATTATAAATAATATTCCTGTAAGAGATAATGTGTTGGAGAAAGATATATTATGAGCCATATACAGGGTGTCCCAGAAATAAGTGCAAATATTTTAACGGGTGGTAGATCTCGATAAAAGAAACATATTTTCTCTTTATCGTTTTTCAAAAAAGTCCAAAATAACGGAGTCATTTTACTTTAAAAATTTCCAAAAAAATGATGTTTTGCTAAAATTTTGAGAACCACTGGATATTTTCTGGATTTTCTTTCTTGTAAATTTAATCTAATACCTACGTTGCCATATTATCAAGAAATTATGTTTTTTAACTAAAAACTAAAAAAAATTAAAAAAAAATTTTCAAAAAATTTCAAAATTTTTTTTTCGCGAAAAAACCCTCATAGGCGTGTGTCTGGGGTTGAACTATACTACCAGTTAAAATATTTGCACTTATTGTATATATACAGGGTGATACAGATTTTACTAGAATAACTTCAGGTATCTCTCGATAGAACTAACCGAAATAACGATAGTTTGTATAATTAACCATACTCCAAAAACGCTTCCGGTTGGAGTAAAATGGCGCTAAAATTTGAATTATTTTTCTTATGGCATGCTGCTAATTAAGTAACATTTTTCAAACGCAGCTGAGCAATGTCCGGAATTTTGTGGAATATCTCGAAAACTAAGCGACATATCAAAAAAATTTAAGAACAAAACAAGTTAGTAAAAAGACGGAAAGTATCAGAAAAAAATACAAATTTATCCAGTGGCGTGCGACAAAAAATTTCGACAAGGTTCCGTGCACTTGACACTCACAAAAACAACACCCTGTATAGCAATTAATCCAATTTTTTTCACACATATCAGCCACGTTGCCCTTAGTATTTAATCAAACACTTGCGTATTTAGGTCCTCTGGCTTACGAGTAATAAAATAAAAACCGAAAAATAATTCAAATTTTAGCGCCATTTTACTCCAAATGGAAGCGTTTTTGAAGTATGGTTTATAATACAAAATATCATTATTTCGATTAGTTCTATCGAGAGAGATACCTGCAGTTATTCTAGTAAAATCTGAATCACCCTGTATGTATGGCTGAATTTGATTATATTTGTGTAGATTTCAAATTGTATGAAAAGGGGAAGTTAAGCTAGGGTTGCCAACTTTCTGAGGTTTTTATTGAGGAGATAGTGTCCTGTCAAAAACGTCGTGACAATCCGAAGACTGTTCTTACTTAAATCAAGGAAAATCTTTAATTTTCCTACGGTCGTAGTCCTGAGAAATGTCTTCGTGTGTCTTTTAGATCGCTGGAGAATTCTTATTCTAGGGTACGGATGGACTCTTCCACGTTCTTTAGTTCCGCTTTAAGCTGGTTTCCACTAGGGAAGCTGAACCATTCTGGTCCAGTTAATGGAATGTTCGCTCCTTTTCTAGCTAGATCGTTTGCTTTTTACTACCTTCTATTCCTTAGTTTGTGCCTTAGTGGTCTGGCCCCTAAGTGGTCGCTTTTAATGTTGCTTGACTATCGGATAAGATGGTTATTTCTTATTTTCGATAGTTCATATCTAAGATAAGTTGTAAGCATCTTTTTAGAGCGTAGATTTCTGCTTGAGGGATACTGGGGTTGGGTGCCTATTGATTCGGAGTATTTAGTGTTCGACCCAAATACTTCTATACCTGTTCAATATACCATTATACCATACGTGTTTATAAAATAACCAACTATTTTTTTTAAAACAAACAAATGTTCTGAAGTTCAAATGTTCATTCATTCCAGTGATACTATTCCAATTCATAGTGTTTTTATTTTTTTATAATTTTATCAACATTTATTTTTACTCGTATAGTTTTAAAAGACACAACACATAAAAGAGAAAACTTTTTCATAATTATTAAAA